ACATCTTTCTCCCACCAGCAGCAGGCTAGTGGGTTAAAACCACTGACCTTTTGGTTAGCAGCCAAGTCCTTTAACCACTGGGCCACCAGGGCTCCGAAAGAGAATATTGGTTAGAATATCCAAAATCAAACAGAGGCAAAATGGCAGTGTCATAGCTATCCAGTGCTGCCATAAGAGAAATATCACAAGTGGGTGGGTTTAACAAACAAATTTATTTTCTCACAGTTTAGGAGGCTAGAAGTCCGAATTCAGGGTGCCAGCTCTAGGAGAAGGCTTTCTCTATTGGCTTTGGGAGGTTACTCTTTCTTGGCTCTGTGGTGATCTTTATGTGGCATCTATCTTCCCCCATCTCTGTTTGCTCCTCTGTCCTAATCTGATCTTTTTTATACTTCAAAGGTGACTGGTTTAAAACACACCCTATACTGACGGGGCCTCTTAACATAACAAAGAAAACCTATTCCCAAATGGGATTATAACCACAGGGTTATAGGATTTACAACACATATTTTGGGGGGACACAATTCAGTCTGTAACAGATGGAAAACAGAGAGGAGTACAACAGGCATAAAGTAACTATACACATTTGGGATGCTTTTGAGAATGAAAGGGACACTATTAATAATCATACCATAACAACAGGTACAAACTGGGACATGAGGTCATTGAGACCTAGGGGCACAGGGAAATGTCTAACATATGTGTAAATGAAGTTCCAGAAAAAGAAATAGGGGATAAGCAAAATTAGGAAAAACAGAGTTGAGGATTTTGAAGTAAAGAAGTAAAGGGAAATAAACTGGGTAAGTATGGTCTGGCCAGATGACAAGGGAGTCATGAAAGTCACGCAAGAGAGACTCAGATAGTAGATTAGTAGAGAATCAATGCAGATTTTCTGGTAAGTAAAGTTTTAGAAACATTAATCAGAAAACAGAGAGGATGATAAAGTAAAAGGACTAGAAGCAGAGAGACTAGCTAGGAAGCTGTTACAGTAATCCAGATGGGAGTTGATGACAAATTGGATTAGGGTGGCACAGTCAAAATGAAAGGGCAAATATTTTCAAAAGAACAATGAATAATTTGGCAAGAGATTATACAAAAATGATCTAGATAATATCTTTAGCATTTAAAACTAGAAAAAGGTGAACATCAATTACTGAAAAAATAATTTCTATGTATTCCTGTTTTTAACATAGATTTCTGTTTATTGTTGTAGTTTAAGTGAAAGTTTACATTTCAAGTTAGTTTCTCATATAAAAATTTATACATACATTGTTATGTGACCCTAATTGCTCTCCGTATACACTGACAGCACACTCCTCCTTTTCACCTCTGATTTCCCATGTCCATTCAACCAGCTCCTAACCCTCTCTGCCTTCCCATCTCACCTCCGGACAGAAGCTGCCTGTTTAGTCTCTTGTATCTACTTAAGCTAAGAGACACACTCCTCACAAGTATCACTTTATGCCCCACAGTCCAGTCCAATCCCTGTCTGAAGAGTTGGCCTCGGAAACTGTTTTATTTCTGGTCTGATAGAGAATCCAGGGGCCATGCTTTCCGGGGTTCCTCCAGTCTGAGTCAGACCATTAAGCCTGGTCTTTTTACTAGAATTTGAGTTCTGCACCTCACTTTTCTCCTGCTCCATCAGGGACTCCCTGTTGTGTTCCTGTCAGGGCGGTCATTGGTGGTAGTCGGGCACCATCCAGTTCTTCTGGTCTCAGGCTGATGGAGTCTCTGGTTTATGTTGCCCTTTCTGTCTCTTGGGCTAATACTTTTCCTTGTGTCTTTGGTGTTCTTCATTCTCCTTTACTCCAGGTGGTTGAGACTAATTGATGCATCTTAGATGGCTGCTTGCTAGGTTTTAAGACCCCAGACACCACTCACCAAAGTGGGACGCAGAACATTTTCTTAATAAACTTTGTTATGCCGATTGAGCTAGATGTCCCCTGACAGCATGGTCCCCAGACCCCCGCCCCTGCTACTTTGTCCCTCAAAGTGTTTGATTGTATTCAGGAAACTTCTTAGCTTTCGTTTAGTCCAGTTGTGCTGACTTCCCCTGTAGCGTGTCCTGTCCTTCCCTTCACCTAAGATAATTCTCGTCTACTATCTAGTGAACAGATTTTTTTTTAATGTTTTGAGTTTTGGCTTAAAAGCTCAACATGGCAAACTAGCAATAGGTAGCAAGTAAAAAAGCTAAGTTTACAATAAATATTGAAATAAAAACTGAAGGTACAAATTATGTAGAAATTATCAAAATGAATGTGACATAAAAACCAATGAGATACAGCAAAAGCAGAATTCAAAAGAAAATGTATAGCTTTAAACACCCTTATAATTTAAAAACACTTAAAATAAATGAGAAATTTATTTAAGAAACCAGAAAGAAAAAAAAAATAAAGGTTATAAAGATAAAAACCAAGCTTAGTTAACTAGAAAAAAATTTTAAACCAGTGCAAAGACTAAATAAGGCCAACATCTGGTTTCTTGAAAATTCCAAAAGAAACAGACACTCTTGGCAAGTCTGATTAAGGGGGAAAATACCTTTAAGCACATATTTAAAACAGAACAGCTAAATCTCACTAAGAATTTCTCAACATTATCACTCTCCTAATCACCTAATAGCTGCAGACAATACAAAATAAATTGGAAAAAAAAAAAAAAAACCGCTTAAGATTGGGAGGAATGTAAAACAATTTGTAACTCTATACTTGTTTCTATACATATGAATCAAAAGGGAAAGCCGTACCTTAAACAGCAATACCAAGTAATCACGTCTATAAATTCTTGATTTACCTTTACGTTTACTAAGAAGAAAGGAGCCCTAGTGACACAGTGGTTAAGCGCTCCACTTGTAACCAAAAGGTCAGTGGTTTGAACTACTAGCCAGCTGCTGGTGGGAGAAAGATGTGGCAATTGGCTTCCGTAAAGATTTACAGCCTTGGAAACCCAATGGGGTAGTTCTACTCAGTCCTACAGGTTCACTATGAGTCAGAATTGACTGAGGACAATGGGTTTTACTAAGAAGAAAACTAGTGACCCATACTCGTGTGCATATTCATTGTTTTTCTAAGCAGTGGTAATCCACGTTCTCATCCCTTCTCTTGTGACCAAGTACACAAAGAAGACACCACTAGGACATCAAGGCAAATTTCTCATGCAACCTACACTGACCTTCAAAGAATTTCTCTAATAAACTGGCCTGTATTTACCCTATACATTAAAAGCAACCATTTAAAACTCATTTTAAATCATCTTAAGGATTTAAAATCCTTTAAAAGATTTAAAGCTAAAGCTTTTAAGAAAAGTTTCTTGATTTCCCCCAGGCAGAGAGGATTATATCCTCCTTTGCATATTTCCTGGCTCCAATGCCTCTATCACATCACACACTAGTTGAAATTCTTCTCCACAATTTGACAGAGAGGAAGCAAGGAAGTTTATACACTTCATGGTGCTTTATGCAAATTCATCTTACTCATCTCAATGTCCCAAATCGGAAACTACCTTCAAGTCATCCACACATAAAGTTTAGGTAAGCTTTGTTCAAGAATAAACCCCTTTCACTAAAGTGTACAAATTTTAAGACTCTCAAGTCAACACACGCAAGCCAAACAAGTCTTAAGCAATACAATAATTCAAATATTAGCAGAAGAGCTTGCATTTTAAAATCAGAGTCTACAGTTTTCTTTCATTAAAAAAAAAAAGAACTAAAATCATAACACTGAGGAATATTGTTTCTATTATTCATTCTCTGTAATTGAAGTAGCATTCAGCCATACTGCTAATGGATGTAATTATTCATCACTTCTATAATTAAGTGTTCAAAAATGAGGAAGATAAATATTAAAAAATGCAGTTTTATGGCTTTCTAGGTATTAAGATTAAATAACTTCTCTCCACATAAAGATTCAGAAAGAAATACCTTCCACTCCCACTTGAGCCTAATATAATCGCAAAGTATTAGGAATGCACCTTATGGAGTGGGTATGATAAATTCTAAAGTGGATAGATTTTCTGCATAGTCAAATTTATCTTTGAAAATCACTCATATAGTAGGTCTTGGATCCTTGAAAACTCAAAAGTTAATGCGTTAGACTTCTTTTGGCATTTAGGCTACAGACACCCTGCTCTGAGTCTTGGAGATTACACTTTAATGTGGCTTAGGGGAAGAAGGGAAGGACAATGGAAAAAATGAGAGATTTGTCTTGTTCCCACCTCCGTACAGTACAGTTCCAGTACGTCTGTATGGTGGAACTGCACTGAGTTCAGCTGATTCTTAGCCCTTAAAACAATATAATTTGGAACTAAAGATCTGCAGTTTTTGCTTGAATTTTAATACTCACTACTGGAGAAAAAATACAAATATAAAACAAGAACTGTTAGGTACAAGTACAGTAATGGAAAATTGAGTGGTTTGCAATTTTTGTGAAATTAAATCGCAAACGTTGCCATAGCCTTAACTTTATACCTAAAGGGGTACAATTTGAAAACAGTGCATGAATTAGCTACATCCATCTGTACTGCAGATGAGTGTACGTGACAGGCTACTTCAGCACTTATTCATCATCCACTGTGTATTAAAAGTATTGTTGAGTCAGGATTCCATTCCACAAACATTATAAGGCTTCTGCTGAGCTGAAAAACAGGGAGTTGGTGGGGGGGGACCCAAAAAACCTTACAATTTAGTTGAAGCCACAATATCCAGACACGAAAAGGACTAACGCTCATAAGAGAACACAAAAAAACCTGGAAGTTAATTAAGTCTAAAGAAAGGGTCTGTTGTTTATCATTTGTATTGTTGCACATCTGCCACTGAAGGTGTTCAATAAATTCTACGAAATAGGTACTTTTTCGGGGGGAGGGAAGTGGACTTGTGGGGGTACTAGAAGAACAATACTGAAGAGGAAAAGCTATGCTGAATTAACCAGACTGATTGGGAACCAACTGACTGGGAAAGTGAAAACTGAAATGAGTTCATGATGAGCCCAAGAAGGTGCTTAGCCACTTACCCAGAGATTTATTTAATGAGAATGAGTCGCAGGTTTCCAAAGGCCGTTCCACTCCCAGTAAGAAGACAGTCGTGAACCTTCGGTCCCTTTTTTCACTAGTCAAGTCACCCTCACCTACACGCGGAGTACATATTTGGCACTCAACAAATCCTGATCGAAGGAAAACCTGCCTTACTCATATTGGTGCCCAACCCCGGAGTTATGGCCCCACAAGTTACCTCCAAAAAGTTCCCTACGACTTAAATCAGGGTTCTGGGAAAGTAGAGAGGAAAGCTCTGGGGCTCTTTGTAAGACGGAACAATCAAGAACCAATGGGCCTACTCCAACCTGACTTTCCAAAGAAAACTCAGGGACTCAGGGGGCTGAGGCGCGATTAGTAGGCTTCGGCTTCCACAGGAGGTACACGGCGGGCCGCAGATCCATAGCCTCCTACCCGGGGGCGCTGAAAGTTCTGGGGGTAGGGGGTGGGTATACCCCCTAAAGTTAGTACCTGCGAGGCTGCGGCACAGATAGTGGCTCGGGACTCTCATTACGGAGGCCGGGGCCTGGGGCCGACCAGCCGCGCCTCCTGGCTGAGGGCTCCGCGCTCCGGGGCTGCAGTGACAGCACGGGTCGCAGAAAGATACCTCACGCCGCAGGAGGCTCCGGTCTTGTAGGCCCGGGTGTTTCGCTCCGCTCCCAGAACTGCGCGGGTTTTCTCACTCACGTCGACCGGCGCTCCTTAGGGCTCCCCTCACAGCTCAGGCGATTACTCCAGCCTTAAGCCCAGCAGCCAGTCGGTTCCAAGCGCCGTCATCCTCAGTGTTTGTTTTCATCCGCTTCTGTGAAGGCGGCGGGGTGGGGGGGGGGGAGGAAGAGGGCTATGAGGGAAATCTTGCTGCCTAACCTCAGCCGCACTTTCGCTACCGACTTGCGTGCCTTATTTTGTTCTTTTTACTCTCCGAAATCCCCATGAAAATTGATTCTCTATCCATATAATTCTTCCAAGCCAATTTTCACAAGTGTCTCAGGGGAAAAGAAAGCATAATCTGTGTGTGTTTAAAAGAGTAAGGAGATTTGTGTCGTGTGTGGAATATGCGACAGCGAACCGCAGGTCGCAGTGGCAGCGGCAGTGAGGACACGGCGTAGGGCGGGCACTGACGCAGAGAGGGAGGTGCGGCTGATAAGCGCCTTGGCGGCCTAAGTGCGGTCGCCGGTTCCGGAGGAGGGACCAACAGGGCTGGTTGGGCGGGGGAGTGCGGCTGGTAACCAGGCAGCCGCGGAGAGGTGGGTGACGGGCTTTGGAGGACTTTGGCTGGCTCAGTTAGACTTTTTTTAAGGCGCCCTGGAAAAACGGCGGTGTCGCTTCTTTCGTCCTTTCCTTTTTAACCTATCTGGTCATCCTTCCTGGCCCTCAGCTTCAACGATTTGGATTTCTTGGGGGTGAGGGGAAAGCCTGTTGTGTAGCACACGGTCTACAGCCACCAAGTTGGGTCGTGGGCGTTTTGGGCCCACTTGGTTTGAGATACCCCACATCCGTCGCGTACTTATCAGGTGGGAGCTTTGGGTAATGAAACTTCGTTACTAATACTTGCAGAGGTTAGTTACGACTTAAGTCAGCTGCTTTGTAACCTGTATAGTTAGAAGCAGACCTCTTTTGCCTTGTGGATAATTATACCATCACTTCCATTAATCTTTTGCTGTTCTTAGTTGAAATGTCAAGTATTAAATGAGCCACTGAGATTGAACTCCCATCAGCTCTCAAACCAGAGCAAGCCTGTCCCACCGTCATGAGTTAGTGGAGAGAAACCCAGAGTTACAAGTACAGCACCTTTGCTTGAACAGAATGAAAATTTGCAGCAAAAAGGCTGTTTTAGCCTTTGAGTCATTTCTTTCAGTCTTTGATAGGTTTCTAATGTTTTCCTTTTTAACCTTTACAGAGAGAAGATTATAAATGCCAGAACCATTTAACTGATGATTAGCTGTTGAATCCTGACACTTTAAAATACCCTTTTACACCAACTACTTCATTGGGAAGAGCTCAGAATAAGTAACAGAAGGAAGGAGCGACAACATTCAAATACACCATGGCTATACCAATAACAGTGCTTGACTGTGATCTCTTGCTGTATGGCCGAGGTCACCGGACATTGGACCGTTTTAAGTTGGATGATGTGACTGATGAATACTTGATGTCCATGTATGGGTTCCCACGACAGTTCATTTATTACTTAGTGGAGCTCTTGGGGGCTAGTCTTTCTAGACCTACTCAGCGATCCAGGGCTATTAGTCCAGAGACACAGATCCTTGCAGCATTGGGCTTCTATACCTCAGGTTCCTTCCAGACTCGGATGGGAGATGCTATTGGAATCAGTCAGGCCTCTATGAGTCGTTGTGTTGCCAATGTCACCGAAGCACTGGTGGAAAGGGCCTCGCAGTTCATTCACTTTCCAGCTGATGAAACCTCCATGCAGGTTCTAAAGGATGAATTCTTTGGGTTGGCGGGGATACCAGGGGTGATAGGGGTGGTTGACTGTATCCATGTGGCAATCAAGGCACCCAGTGCTGAAGACCTCTCCTATGTGAACCGCAAAGGTCTGCATTCTTTGAACTGCCTGATGGTGTGTGACCTCAGAGGGGCACTAATGACTGTGGAGACAAACTGGCCAGGCAGCCTACAGGACTATGCTGTACTGCAGCAGTCTTCTCTCTGTAGTCAGTTTGAAGCCGGGATGCACAAAGATAGCTGGCTGCTTGGTAAGTTTACACGTGAAAATACTTCATTTTGTAGCCAGAGAAAAATTATGTAGCAGAATAGAGAGAAATGTGGGAGCCTATAGGTGGGGGCTGACTCAATAGCCGCTAACAATAGACTTAAGTCTCAGTCCTGTCACTTTTTGAGGCCTCAGTTAAGTCACTAGAACTCTTCTGCACCTTCATTTTTATCATTGGTGGAAATAATGCCAGCAGCAGTAATACCTGTTGTGAATGAAGATTAGGTAATCTATAGAAGCCCTGGTGGCAAAGTGATTAAGAGCTACGGCTGCTAACCGAGAGGTCAGCAGTTCGAATCCACCAGCCGCTTTTTGGAAATCCTGTGGGGCACTTCTACTCTGTTCTATAGGGTCACTGTGAGTCTGAATTGACTTGACGGCATACAACAACAACAACATATGAAAGTTCACTATGAAGTACTGTACAAATATATAAATATAGGAGATAGTTTTTACCATTGATGACTGCCACTGTGATATCTATATGAAAATTATAGTAGGCGGTGCATTTAAACAGATATTGTTACAGGAACTCACTTCCCAGATCTGTCCGAGTCCCGTACAAATGGGTTTTATAGATGAGTTGGAAAGCCTGGCTTAGTGATAGGAGTAGGACAAGAACCCATGACTGGAACTCATTCAGTTTTGAGCAATGTAAACCGAGATGCCTGTACAGCTGTGGGAAATACAGTTAGTTAGCTGTGATAAAGACCGTTAGCCTGACAACTTTGTTTTTTAAAGCACTAATCTTATATGAGCAACAGGACAACAAAGATTATCTTGTATACAACATACAATGAGACATTAAGGATTAGAAGATCTCTCTTTAGGACCACCGTGATACCTGCACAGCACTTGCTCATGGTACAATGTTTGACATGTAGTAGACACTCAGAAAACATTTCTCTTGAGCGTACTTCCTGGCATGTTAAAGAGAAATCTACCCTATTCCAAATGGGAAGGGACTGCTGTCAGAGTGATTGGTTTAGAGCTGCCAGGGTGGTATGTGTAGTATCTTGAAACTTAATGATTTTCTTGAGTTTTTGCTTTTATACACCATCATCAATGCCAAAATATAGGCACTGGCATCTGACTTAATTTCCTATTTTGCCTATATCACCTTCAAATAATGTGAGAAACTGGACTATTTGAAGAAGAATGGGGCATCAGGATTGGAGGAAGACTCATTAACAACCTGCATTATGCAGATGACACAACCTTGTTTGCTGAAAGTGAAGAGGACTTGAAGTACTTACTGATGGAGATCAAAGACCACAGCCTTCGGTATGGGTTACACCTCAACATAAAGAAAACAAAAATCCTCACAACTGGACCAATAAGCAACATCATGATAAATGGAAAAAAGATTAAAGTTGTGAAAGATTGCATTTTATGTAGATCCACAGTCAACACCCATGGAAGCAGCTGTCAAGATCAAAAGATGCATTGCATTGGGCAAATCTGCTACAAAAGACCTCTTTAAAGTGTTGAAAAGCAAAGATGTCACCTCGAAGATTAAGGTGCAACTGACCCAAGCCATGGTATTTTCAATTGCCTCATATGCATGTGAAAGCTGGACAATGAATAAGGAAGACCAAAGAATTGATGCCTTTGAATTGTGGTGTTGGCAAAGAATGTTGACTATACCGTGGACTGCCAAAGGAATGAACAAATCTATCTTGGAAGAAGTACAACCAGAATGCTCCTTAAAAGCAAGGATGGCAAGACTACGTCTTACTTTGGATATGTTGTCAGGAGGGATCAGTCCCTGGAGAGGGACATCATGCTTGGTAAAGTACATGGTCAGCAGAAAAGAGGAAGACCCTCAGCGAGATGGATTGACACAGTGGCTGCAACAGTGGGCTCAAGTATAACAATTGTGAGCATAGCGCAGGACTGGGCAGTGTTTCGTTCTATAGTACATAGGGTCCCTATGAGTTGGAATCGACACAAGGGCACCTAACAACAACACAACAACCTTCAGAACACCAGCTTTTTTCTACCCTATTGGATCTTTGTTTAAATCTCACCTTCTGCTTACCTTGAACTTTTAAATTCCATTCTCACACAACTCACACCAAGAAATGAAGGAAAGCGTGTTTTGCAAGTGTCTAACCTAGCTACTTCTTCTGCAGTTGTGAGTACCAAGCTGGTCTCTTATGTATATCTTCACTTTGTACCCTAACAATAAAGCCAAAAAAAAAAAAACGAGAAGGGAAACCCTGGTGGCTTAGTGGTTAAGAGTTTGGCTGCTAACCAAAAGGTCAGCAGTTCAAATCCACCAGGCACTACTAGGAAACCCTGTGGGACAGTTCTAATAGAGTCGCTATGAGTCAGAATCATCGCCAGCTAACATTTATTGAGTACTTGTGATCTATCAGGTGATGTTGTAAGCACTTTGCATGGAATATCTCAATTATCCTTACAAAAACTCATTTTAAGAGTTAAATACTAATATGATCAACATTTTTACAGAAAAGGAAACTGAGGCATAGAAATTTTAAGTCACATACTCAAGATCATTCAGTTAGTAACTGGTGGAGCCAAAATTGATCACTGTGCTATACTTGCAAATTAAATACTGAGCTAAGTTCTTGAACATTTCTCAAGGGTGAAATGGCTGTGGGCTAGAGTGCCTCTTCAGAAGCTTCCTCCTCTTTGCTTCTAAGTATCAGTAAGCTGGCCTTGGCATTTGAGTATGGATATGAATTTACTGATGTAACATTAGCTCTATGACTGCTTCCATCTAAAGTTCACATGTTTTCATTGCTGTTTATATTTAAAGTGAGTGAAAATAAGTATATCCCATCCTCTAGTGCCCCTTCTTTCAACTTAGACCTTAGTGGAGTAGTAGTATTAGACTTGCCTCATTTTTCTAAGAACTTATTTTCATAACCAAATACTTCTTTGAGTTGCAAATACTGGAAAATAAAATTACATAAAGTTCGGGAAATGCTGGGAGGTTAATGTTTGAATGTGCAGGGCCTTTCTGGATTTATCAAGTAAAAAAAAAGTAGAAACGTACAGTGTTGAGGTAAATCTGAAAACAG